AGATACTGATCAAATAACCAAGGATCAATTGCCACTCGACATCCCATGAAACTTGGGAATCTATACCGGCTTGTATCGAAAACAGGTTGGTTTGTTTAAGGAGTGCGTGGTAGAACAACGAGCCCATACCAACTGGCGACAACAGACTCCTAAGGTTGATCGATGCTCGCGTGCAGACGTGCCGTCGTCGTCTGTCTCCTACGTATACTTGGATCTGACGTTCAACTCTCAGTTTCAGTTGTCGTCCTCGAGAATTGCGCATGGTGTGTCCGATGGGACCACGCCGGCGTGATCGTTTGTATCCGAGTCAAATCCTGTGTGTGTGTGTGGAAAATTCAAATCTTTCAATTAACACTTGCTGGAGGTTCCCTCACCTCACTTAATGCGTGAGGAGAGTGATCATAACCCTCGTATGTCTTTCGCGAATCTCTGAGGAAGATGTGCAAGAGGTATGAGAAGATTTAGAGTGGGAGTGGACAAACTGGTTCATGTATGGCCCTCCTTTCCCCTTCCCCGTTTGCTGACTCGTCTGTCGATCGACTTTCATGGGAACTTCGCCAACGAGGAACCTGGTAAGGTATTTTGGAGGTGTGCTGGAGACCGTGACCTCCAAGAATGCGAGCTGGAGTCAACGTTCACGAGCATTCGATACGACTCGATGTTCCACACATCGCCCTACTGTTGTGTGAGGTGACATGTCCGTGGCGGAAAATGCACGAGCGTGCAAAGAAGATGGATCCGTGCCCGATTAGTCACCGGTACCTCCACAGGGTGGTGCGGGGCTTCGTAGAGCATCAACCGACAAAATATAAGTGCACTAGGGAACTGACTCAGGCCGTGTCGCATGCCACGGAAGGTCGTACTTACTATATTGTTATGACTTGTCGCGCGCAGCCCTTCGTTGGACAGCTTTCAAAAAAAGTACAAATCTCACCGTGACATCAGTATGAACAACATCCTTGTCGATGAGAATGACGAAGGCGTCCTGATCGATTTAAGAGCCCGTTATTGATATTGGCAGCAAAGGTGAACCCAATGTACTGAAGAGACATGATCGCATAGTGAGTGACTCGTCTTGTGATTATTCTCGAAAGCTCTTAACGTGGTAGAGAGGGAATATGGCAATTTATCTCGGCTACGTTGCTCGGAAATCTTGGAGAGGAACATCAGCTGGTTGATGATATTTGTGCATGTCTTCGGATGGACTGTCCTGCGTTACCTTCCGAGTCCTATGGATGGACACCGCCGTAAGGAATTGGTGTCGTTGTTGTACGACCGTGAATTCAGGACTGCCACAGGCCAGGAAGAATGGGACGTAGCAAGGCAGATAAGTTGGTACTGGGGGATTCTCTCCCGGGAGTGTTTTCCGATTTTTGAGCTAATGCAAACGTTCGCCTCCCCTGTTCAAGCACGCTATAGACGGCAAACCACCCATTGAAGAAGTCGATGAAGGATTTGAGTACCTTGAAGCCAGTGCCCCGAAAGAGCGAGTCACTGAGAACCGGTGCACGGGTGCACCCTGGTTACTACAAAGTGGTTGACAAATTCAGAATGGTTTTAGGTAAAAGCAGTGTGCTACACAGCATGTTGAGACTTACTAGGCCTAACTAGTTATCCGTGCCGACCGGGGTCACTGCAATAAAGTAGTCAATCATTCCTTCTGCCGGTGCCACCGGAGAAAACGATCTCGGTTGAACGAAAAGGAAAAGGAGTCAGAAATTGTGTACAGTACCAGTGACCATGGTGACAATGCCAAGTTTCCCTGTTCTCCACTTGTTTCTGAGGACAAAGAACGACGTCAGTGACCGTTCCAAAATATATTCTTCGAGGAAGAGAAGAGCGGAGATGAAATTCTAGTCGGGCAAGTGTCCTTATGTAATCACTCCCTGTTCCTCACAAGCATGGCACCCGGATTCGGATCCAACTTCGAGGCACTTTATGCATATGCATGATGCACGTCGCCAGCATCCATACAATATCTAGAAGTACAACGGCATTGAGGAGCCTTTACTCCGAATTTGCGAAGGACAACTGCCCCCCTTTCGCTCTATTTGAAAGTTTCGGCGGAGGACTGGGCAGGTTTTAATCTCCAGTGTGTTGACAACCTCAAATGATTCGATCGCGTATTGTCTCGAGCAGGCCTGAAACCCTGCACGAGGACGAATCTGTGTTACCACCTTCGAGTTGGTCCTTCATGTGGTGGAACGCCGATATGTGCGGGTGCTTCCCAAGCCGTCGTGTTTCTTGATTCAAAACGTTCAAGTCCAACATTTGTATCATGCAAGCGCTGACCTGCCGCGGTGCCGAAATTATCCACTCCATGATCGATAACCGTTGGCTGAGACAGACTTCCGTCCACCGTTACTTATGTTTCAAATCTCTACTTATCTGGATGACTGAAACGGATCAAGACTCGACGCAATCAGTAGTGAGATGTCATCCCGATGGTACGGGCCGCTCTCCACATACTCCAAGTTACCTCACCCTCTGTAACTGCGACCTCATCCTTCTCGTTCGCCGTAGCAGGGCATAATAATAGCGGGAACATCACACCGCCTTCTCTTCTGTGGCTTCCCCTAATCATGGAGCGCTTCGTGGACTTCGGGGGTTGCTAACTATGCAGTTTGGCGACAACGAAACGCCCGAGATGGGACATAAAAACTCGTGGGTTCTTCGCTCTTTTCTCGTTAAACCTGCGAACCCATTTCGACTTGCAAACGACCACTTCAAGTTTCCCAGCTCGACGTTGTCACTGATGTTACAGACATACCAGAATTCCCTGGATAATACGGAGATTCTCACCCCAGAGAGACATGTCTTTTCGCTACGAACCACGTTTGGTCTGCGCGTCGGAGGCGCGTCGCAAGCCAAAATGCCAGCCAGGGAGGACGTGACGGTACGATGTGCCGCACTGAGATATCCCATCTCGAAGAGCAAACAAGGGTTGACATTAGTGTTGACCCACGGACTGTCTAGTCGTACGTGTCTCCCTCCGAACGTTTTTGCCGCATGTCCCTGACCCCACCGTACCAGACAAAGAGAGTTATCACCCTACGATTGCGCATCTCCTCCGGATGAACGCCACTGGAACTCGATACGTCAACATGATCAGAGAAATATGGTCGATTGATATGCCCAACCACGGCGAGAGTGCGGTTCTAAACCGTGCCTATCTGGAGGATCGACAGGAGAGGGGGCGGAAAGAGGGCTGGGATGGGAAATGCAGTGCGTGTTTCATTTCTGACATCGCCCATATACTTAGCACGTCGATCTTGTACCTGACTGTGATGGTAAACAGCGACGATGGACTTTACTAGTTATCTCGATGCATTTCTGTCTATACCACAGCTGCAAGGTCATCGAGTAGTCGGCATTGCACATTCAGGAAGCAGCACGCCATGGTATGTTCCATTTATTCTCTCGCACTTCGCTCCGTCTCTGAGTGTCCCTTCCCTCGGTACGTCTCGAATGTCCCAACGCATACAAATACGTTCCTAGGACAAACGTGTTCACGCTCCTCAAACAACGCACCCATCCACATCCCTTCGCTCTCTTATTCATCGAGCCGGTTCTCATGTTTCCCGGGATGTCCTCTACTGACCCTCGAGTCGCACACAGCAACGCCAATATGCGCGGATCACTTGCGAAGCGAGACAAGTGGTCTAATCGTGCAGAGGCGAAGCGTTGGTTATTAGGTATTCAGGGGAGCGGACCTGAGGGGCAGCGGCGTCAACGAAGAGATATCGACATCAGTGGCGGTGCGAAACAGAGGGAGAGCCAAAGTCAGAATGTTGGGAGTGGTCGCGGGAAAAGCATTAATAACGGTAAGGCGAGAGGGAAGACTTTATGGTCGAAGTGGGATGGTCGAGTGCTGGATTTGTTTGTGGTATGCCGTGGTATCCCACGTAGCCGGGAACCACCCTTGCATAGCCTTGACAACCACTCTAACACGCCTTTTGTACAGGAACACGCCCTCGAAGGTGTCTGTGAGTCAACCCTGCCTCTTCAAGGATCCGCGAACTCGACCGCGACGACGGCAAAATCAAGGACCTACGTGCGATCCATGAACCGTAAGGAAGAGGAATCATCGTTGTATGCACATTCGCAGCATACCATCGAACCCGAGCACCTCGCGCATATGTGTGCGGCTTTGGGTTTACGAGGTGGTGGGGTACATATCATGTGGGCGGAGTCGGAGGAGTACATGTGCGTACCTTCTTTTTTTGGCTGCGGAGTGTGTTCAATCATCATCCTTGTCTGTCTTTCATGTAGATCCCAATCTTCCAGAGATGGCATCCTTGACGCCGCCTCCCACCGCGTCCTATCCGATCGCGTTGTCCCTGGCTCAGGTCATCTTGTAAGCTCCCTTCCGTAGTATATCTTCCGGATTTCGGTTACTATTCACTTCCTCAATGCCTCGCTTCCTCATTCTTCCTCACAGCGAAGTTGAGTAGAAAAAACTCACACGTTCGTTTCCCCTTTCAACAGGTGCCCCAGGAAACTCCGAGAGAGCTCGCGGAGACGTTGTATGATGTGCTGGTCGGTCATGTAGCGGTCGCGGCGGGAGTCACGATGCGGGCTTCGTTATGAAGCAACGAAGCTGTGTGAAGATGTGGCCTTCGGAAGCTGTGTAGAAGAGGGTGGTGGAGTGGTGCCAGGTGGAGAACATCTGGAATGTTTCGCATCACGCCACTCTCGGGCACGCAGGCGTGCAGTAAGCTATCCACTGGAAGGGCTAGTTGTGCGGAGGCTGCAGAGGCGGGCTATTTGAAGTGAGAGCTTGATTGACCGGGGGCTACAGTAAGGTTGTTCGCAGCGTACGAGGACAATGCATAGCCCCAAAACTGTAGAGACCGTCGCGGGTTCCACAACAATTTTTTGTTATATCATAGTACCAGTATTAGTGCTAGTAGTATATCATCTAGAAGCCCGATCATGCTAGGTGCTTGTAATTCAAGGCTTCGACAATATATCATGGGACACCTTCGAGAAAAAAAGATCTCTCTGGCGGGGAGTCGAACCCCGCTCTCCCGCGGTCAGTCTGGACAATCTGATGACAGGCGGGTGTACTATCCGATATACTACCAGAGATGCTTGTCGCAAGGGCAATTGTAGAACCAATACATCGGCGGGCTTAGTTTGTGTGGCAGACTGGTAATAACTTACCCAAAAGGAGTTGTACACCTGCGCACATAATGCTTACTGCACTGCCACTGCGGACGCAGTGTGCACGTGAGAATCAGATCCCTTTATCTCTTCCCTTCAGCCATAGACACATGACATGACACGTCCACCATGGACATATGTACGCATAGACTCCGTCTTTGTTCCACATACAAAGGCTCTTTTCAATGCAATCTCCACTTTCCGAGCAGTCGAGCTCGGTTTCCATCCGATGGGACTAGTAAGCGGTAGAACTTTGAGATTTTTCACATCTACATTGCTAAGAGTGACCGAATTCCTTTCCTTCAAGGTGTCTCACGTTCGCTTCGCTTGAAATCACGTCCTCGAACACATCGTCGACGTCGTCACCGCGAACTCAGCGGGGAGAGTGAGTTTCCTATGAAATATGTCGGACTTCATGCCAGCTGGCGGAGTCATTATTTTATGTAACCCCCCTTTGTGGAACGCGATCACGTGTACAAAACGTCTACCCTTTAAGATCGCAGCGCCGTGTGTGGCGCATCTTATCCAGACTAACTATCTTGTCCCGCCACAGCATGGAAATTCTCACCCTTCTCTGTTGGGTTCGCGGCGAAGATGCTAAGAGAGTGTTCGAGGTTGAGATTTCTAAGGACGCGAGCGTCGGAAAGCTCAAAGCTACCTTGAAGCGCGACAGATCGGCCATTCTCAAGGATGTCGATGCGGCCGATCTCGAGCTCTACCCCTTGTTCATCCCGTCAAATGCAAACCGCGCAGCTGAACTCGAAAAGTGGAGATCGCATGGCAAAGAGCCTTTGGATGTGGAGCAAAGGATGGACCAGGCTTTTCCCAATCGTCGCAATGGGAAATGGATCCTCGTTGTCACATATCGTGCGCCTTCAATTCTGTACGATAACTTGCTAAATCACACCATCTTGATATGCAGCAACTCTTCTCTGTTGGGTTCGCGGTGACCACGTCGACAATGTGTTCGAGGTCGAGATATCTAGAGAAGCGAACGTGGGAAAGCTGAAGGATGCCTTGAAGGAAAAGAATTCTAACTCTCTCAGCAACGTAGATGCGAAGAATCTCACCCTCTACCGCTTACTCGTCCCATCGGATGGAAATCGAGCAGTTGAACTCGGGAAGTGGAGATTGCATGGCAAAAAGCCCTTGGACGTAAAACAAAAGCTGTTCAACGCTTTTGCCAGAACTCAGGAAGGGGAATGGGTTGTCGTTGTCAACCATCGTGCGCCTCCACTTCTGCACGATAACCTGATACTCACACCATTTTGATATGCAGCGACTGCAATCACGAGGTTTCACGTCTATTTCAGAAACGAAACCTTACTCGTGTCCGCTGTGGCGCACGACATGGTCAAGGACTTTTTATCGAACTTGCTACGTGATCAACAACACCGGAGGGTGTTTAAAGACGTTTCTGCTTCACAATTCAACGTTTATCGATTGAATCCCCCCGTGTTGGTGACAGAGGGAAAAAAATTCCTGGAACACTTGGAGCCCATGAAAGGCACCGACGCAGTCGAGTTGTCGTTTGGTGAATCGACAGTTACACCGCAGCATGTATGTATGGCCCTCATGCTCGCGGAAGGTACGTTTGGTTCGTGTGGGCAATAATTTGCCTACCCCTGACGCGTTTTCTGCCTGCACACCAGATGAGTCCAGCAAGGCTATTGAGGCACTGAAACGGGATCACTCGGAGATCTTTTCATGCTTGAAATTAACTGTCCGAAAATCACTCAGATGGACGAAGGATGACGTGGAAAGCAATCTAGGGGGTGGACGGTACACAGAGCACAATGAAGCTGCTGTTCCGGAGATTAGGAAGATTCAAGAGTTATTACGTTCTCGTCGGATATATGACGTAGGTCTCCGTCCCTCTCTTGCCGATTATGTGGCTAAGGAAAATCTCGAGAATACTGTTCGGGGGACTACGCAACAAGTTCGCGATCTTGAAATGGCTCGACAAATCGACGAGCAGCTCTTTGAGCAAATATTTACGGCTCTTTCGGGGAACCGCGATGGAGTGTTGATGGTCCGCAACTCTCGAGAGTTCTCAACCTTTTATCACGTTCTACGTTGCTACTACGAAGATGCGACCAAAATCCGCGACCAACAATCTTCCGCTGTCAGGGCGGGCAACTTCGCCACGTACTTTATACAGCCTCCTTTTTTGTCCCCTGGTAATCCCGATATTAAATACCAGACGTAAGTGCCCAGCTAACGGTACTTTCCCTCGCTCATGCACCAAATTCAGAGAGATGCCCTGGGGTTTTCCACTCTTCGTCGGAACCAACGCCGTTGATAGTTGGCGCAAGTACACGCCGAAGAGCGACCTCATGGTCTCGTCTGCGGGTCATCTGATCCCCTTCTTTGTCTCGGAGGTTATATCCGTGAAGAATGAGGAAGACCGTTTTCGAATGCTCCTCCAAGCAATAGCCGTCGCTCGGGCAGGAAAAAGGCTCTTGAAGAACACCTCTAAGCGCCGATTTTTCGTAGTTGCTGTATACTTGGACAAGGGGATGGTTGCCTCGCGATACATTGTCACGCAAACTGGTCGAGACAGGGACGGCGCTGCTGGGGTTTATCAAGGGAATGCTGTGGGTGTTTCGCCGGCACCCTGCGACGGATATAATTATGTTAAATGCATACAGGTTTCCATCCATCGCGATGACTTCGATCTCACCAACAAGACCAAGGCGATTGAATTCGTCCGTGAAATGTACAATCTTGTAGGAGAGCTTAACAATCTTGTCGAGGACTTGGACATGAACATGGCGCAAACCCTCAGCCAGATCGTAGCTGCCGCCAAAGATGTGCTTTCACTCCACTCGAGGAATTATCCCGTGACACGGACGCGAGGTACTCCATTGGATACTATTAATGAAGAGCGCGACCTTGGCGTTTTCGGTGCGCCTGATGTCCAAGAACACCTTCGGAGCATGAAGTGCGCGGTCGATTTTCGTGTCTTCGGGGTCGGTTTATCACTTTGTATTCAACGCACTTGATTGACACATACCGCAGCACGAGAACCTCGCTGTTGTCAAATGTGAGACTGGTGAAAGTGTTGGTTACCTCAAGTTCGTCGAACCCTCACGGCAGCAGGAGGTTGAAATTCTGCAGTTCCTCGGCAATCTTCAGTCTCCGATGAACCATACCATCTCTGGAGCCCAGTTCTGGTCGGTGAACGGCGGGACCATGATATCTATGCCCATCGCTGGTGGTCGGCTCACGTCTCTTAAGAGGCATGATGAGCATCTCTGGTCCGCTGCCAGCCAACTCATTGAGGGGGTTGCATTCATGCATGCTCAACTCGTCGCACACATGGATATCAAACCAGAGAACATCGTCATTCCTACCGAAGGTGGCCGTCTTTCCATCATCGATTTTAGTGTAGCTATCCGCTTGAAGAGCGAAAAAGAAAAATTCCGTGGCATAGTCGGGACGCCAGGGTACACCGCACCTGAAGTCGAGCGCGGCGATGCGTATAAACCGATCCAGGCCGACCTGTGGAGCTGCGGACGAACCTTGGAGGTCTTATGTTCCAACTGCAAGCCCTCTTTCGATCGCAATTTCCTCCTCAGGGTGGCCGCCGAACTGATGAGTGAAGACGCTGACCAACGGCCGACGATGAGCAGGGTCCAGGAGTGGATTGCTTCGAGGAAGGTAACCCTAAGTGCAGAGACACGTGGATTTCGGTCAGTCTTAGCAGCTTGATTGAAACTGCAACGAAGCTCATAACGGTGCTATAGATACCCCTCCCATTTGGTGGCATGTGCCTGATTTGGCTTGTCGTTGATCATTGATTATACCTTGCTGGAGATATGGTGTATGTGACCGGGCGAGTGTCATGTACTGGATGTCAATGTTATTGTGTACCTATACAAACGCCATTGTACATCTTGTGCTGTCCCTTACACAGCAAGGAAGAACAGAGAATGGCCTGGGGTTATGAACCACTGTCGAGAACAGGTCATCATCGTCAAGACGTGCCATTGAGGTGCAGTGGTGGGGGGGGGGGGGGTTGAGGTCAGGTGTGTACGGTATGGTCACAGGCGCGGCCGCAGCGGCATATGCCACATCATTGGCAGCGGGGCTCGTTGTCGTCGTCTGTCGGGTCGTTCGTCGTTCTCAGCGGTGGCTAGTCATCGTTGCCGCCATTTTTGTACCCACTAAACAACCTTCTGCGTTCGAAAGCCGGCGGTTCATCATGAGTCATGTCGGGGGCCGGTTGAGCTGGGCCGACTCACTGGTCCGTCCGCCAGCTACACGTGTTAATGGCGCCTACATCAGGAAAATCCATTTGCTATGTAGCACAGCCATCAGGTACATTTGTGACATATAGGCACCACGGTGCTAGTGCGAGAAATTTGCAGGTGGCGGTGCCGGTCACAGCCCGAAACGGAAGGTCGGTCGCGCCCTGCCTGGCGGGCGTGCAAGCGACCGTCGAGGGCCCGGTGATGTCAGCTGTCACGCCTCGTCGGCACGTCGGCTCACTCGGCATGCCACGTCGCGGTCCCCTCGTCGCCCGATATGGACAACGAGAAATTTCGAACGAAATGACAGAAATGATTGGAGATTAGCTGCTGACTCGATCGGATTTGATGCCATGGAGGCACCCCCCCAAAAAAAAAAACCCGAGATGATCGCTGCACTCCGAGTTCCAACATTCGACGTTGGGAAAAAAATTGGGGCTCTCATTTGTAACGTGCCGACTGTCGTAGTACGCTACTAGTGACCATAACCACCTCTGGAATAAACTGAAACTGACTTACACGAAAACACGAATTTAAGGGAAAGCAGAGAGAGGATGTGACCGACAAAAGCATCAAAATAAAAAATAAAAAAAAGTCGGAGAGAGAGAAAGGAGAGAGATGACGAAGTGTAGTCAGTTTATTGTAAGATGGGTAGTTGTAAAAACGAGAAAA